TGGGTCGGGGCTAAAAATAAATATTCTCCCAGTGGCAGACACTAAGGCGTGTGGGGGGAATTTATTAAAGAAGAATTGTACAAAGCTACTGTTGTCCTTCAAGACCCCCTGCCATTTGGCTGAGCTACACCATTGCTGAAGAATAAAAGTTTTCAGGTTTCCCACAGATTCTCAAGATTCTCACAAATAGCAGCTGGCACATTCTCAGAAAGTTTCCTCGGTGTATGGAGTGGTGTGGAGTGGTGTGGACTACTCCACACCACTCCATACACCGAGGAAACTTTCTGAGAATCTGGGATTCTCGAATGGAGAGGATTAGTTACACTACATAGGACTACCTGAAGCAATAAGCAGTTGGGAAAATCCATACCCTCTGAGACAAACCATCAGGATACAATCCAGCACCCGTGAGTACTACTTGTTCGGGACTTTACACACTGTCTGGTTGATACTCTCTTCCATGTGTGATAACTACTCTGGGTATAATCATTTATTTGATTCTAACAGAACGCTGTTCGTATACTGAATACTTGTCTCATGGTCTGCTTGCTTCATTTTGAGAGCTGTGGTCACAAATGTAACAGATTAATAGTTACACCACCTGTCCCAGTGATTGTAATCCTTTTAACATCCCTGGAAAGATTCAAACACAATCGATGAGGATCCAAGGCTAAAAAAGTTACTTTGTCTCTCAACTTGAATTATATATTGTTTATTCATTTACAACTTCCCAGCGCTGTGTTTTCAATAATCTTGAGTTTAAAACCGGTACCATCCATTATGCTGATCAGCTCGTCCTAGTGTGCATGGTTTTGGGATATGAGTGAGTCGGTTATTGCAATAACCATTTTTTAGATAAGCAACTGGAGGTGGTTAATTACTGTATTTAGACTGACCAAAGATTTTAAATTAATAAATTTATACAACTTTGTACTACATATTTGACTCTCCGACCCTCGTTTATACTGTTCTTTTGATTTGATCCTATTTTGATCATCTCACAATCTTTTTTCTGTTTTGCTTAACAGTTGGGGGTTATTCTTGAGAGTCATCTGACAATTGATCTACCCTATAGTAGGGTTCGATTAAGACTGGGTCTGGTACTCTGGGTATAACCCCCCTCTTTTCATAAGAATTTGACTGGGTACTGGCATAAAGGGCAATCCAATTACATCATTCCTTCTATTGAAGCAGTTTTAAAAAACCTCAGTCAGTGAGAATGGATAAGTTAGCAGCTGCTGCTACTGACATTTTCCCATTACCAATTGCAAGGATTCCCCTGTAGTAAGGGGAAGGGGAGGGATCTTCCTTTTACTCAGATCAGCTGAGTACAGTGTCCCCTTCTCTAGAGCGCTGTTTTAAAATGGCACTGTGTTTACACTGTGTGCATGTGCTAGCCTATGATCATGCTGCGATTAGACAGCACAGGGCATAGGCAAAATGCACAAAGTCAATCAAAGTGGCTCTGTGCCTTGTGATTGCTATGATGGTACTGCTGTTTACATTTGAGAGCCCCCCTCTTCTCCTCACAAATAAGGAACGGGAAGAAGGACAATCAGTGAATGTTTAAATGAATGAAGGGTTTATGAATGAAGGGTAGGCAGCAGTAACTTTAATTATTTGATTAATTTTAGTGTGGAATCATTTTCAACCCCCTCCCCTACTCTCCTGTACATCTCATCTCCATCCTTTCGCTATAATGCCTTTAATGGTTTAACCCCCTCATCTCCATCCTCCCACTGTATGTGTCAAGTACATGAACCCCTTCACCCCCTCCTCCCCCTCTGTATGACCCATATATTAATATTGCACTGCATCTTCTGTACCATTACTTAGCTCCATGTTCTAATTCTAGCATGTTTCTGCATTTCCAAAAATTTGTGGCGGAAAATAAAATCACTATGG